TACAGGGGGGGAGAAGGTGACAAGCGCTGGGTTGACATGCCTGCAAAGAAGGGGACGGCAAAAGTAAGAACCCCCGTGTGCTGCAAACCGAGGTGGAAGTGTGGGAGCCAGAATCGAGTGAGGAGGAGGAGATGGAACCAGTGGGAAAAGGCCAGGTCCTGCTGTAAGTGGCGCAGCACAGCACGACCCATCCACAGATGCGCCGAAAGTGGTGAGCAGCTATCCACCCCTCTTTTTTGTGACTGTTACTATTATGAGCCCCGCCATGGGAACGCACATCAGGGTCCAGGGCCTCAGACTTGGGATGCAGGAGGGATCTAATCCACCCCTCCCTAGTGTCGGGTCTCGAGGCTGCCGTGATTCGGTTGGCAGAGCCCTTAATTTTTACCCAAATGGATGGGTCCCCGATGAAAGAGCCCTGTAGATTTGAGACTGCACCTTTGCGTATGGGGGCTGGGGACCACTGGGAAGATTAAACTTTTGTGGTGTCACCAGGGGCTAGGGGCTAGGTGCCCATTTGTGTTGGGAAACCCTTGGGTCCATGGACATGATCCATATATCTTGTGGAGCAACAGGATTGTCCATCTCCCCTAAATGTCAATACCATGTTTGGAACCCAAAGTGGGGAGTAGCTCCTGATAGCGAACCGGCGTTGGGTGTTTAGCTACGGAGGAACTTGCCAAAAATCCTGAGGGAATATAGAGACTTGTCAAGGGTATTTGAAGAGAAAGAAGCTGACGGGCTCCCACCCCACCGCAACTCTGACTGTGCAATTGAGTTATTGCTGGGCCGTAAGATGCCGAAGGGAAAGCTCTGTGCTATGATCCCCGGTGAAAAAGTGGAGTTGCGGAAGTTTATAGACAAAAACTTGGCCAGAGGGTTAATCCGGCTGGCTACTTCCCCGTTTGCAGCCTCTTTCGGGGCGAAAAGGATGGTGGCTTAAGACTTTGCACTGACTATCGTGGATTGAATGCAGTCTCTTCCACAAATGCCTACCCCATGCCATTGATCAAAGATCTCTTGGCTGAAGTTGCTAAGGGAAAAATCTTTTCTAAACTTGACTTGTGAGACACTTATTTCTGTGTGCACATACAGGAGGGGGATGAATACAAGACAGCTTTCAACACCCCCCTAATACAAGACAGCTTTCAACAACCCCCTCGGCCAGTTCGAGTACCTGGTGATGCCATTCGGCTTCCAGGGCACTCCTGAAGTTTTTATGAACCTAATAAATGAAGTGTTGCACAAGCTCCTGTTCAAGGGGGTCCTTGTGTACTTGGACAACATTTTACTGTACTCCCCTGACAAAACCTCTTATGTGCATTTGGTGAGAGATGTGCTGCAGACATTACACAAGCACAAACTTTTGCCAAACTATCAGAATGCAAGTTCCATAAGACTGAGATTGATTTTCTTGGTTATCACATCTCCCAAAGGGGGATAGGGATGGACCTGGGGAAGGTGAAAGATGTGCTGGAGTGGGAAGCTCCCAAAACTTGCCGTCAGCTTCAGAGTTTCCTGGGATTTGCCAATTTCCATAGAAATTTTCTACCAAACTTTGCCCAAGTGGGCTTGCCCCTAACGGACTTATTGAAAACCAAAGGGAAGGGGCCGGAAGCTACTAAGCCCAGCGCAAAGCTGGCATGGACTCCCAAATGCCAGGAAGCGTTCAATCGCTTAAAGGCTCTGTTTACTACAGAACCGGTGTTAGCGCACCCGGATGAAACGAAAAAAATTGTGGTCCACATCGACACGTCAGATGTCGCCATGGGAGGGGTAATCTTGCAAGAGGGGGCAGAGATGGCAAGCTCCATCCCTTGGCATATGTGTCCCACAAATTTAATGACACAGAAAGAAACTGGTCAGTATGGAATAAGGAGGCAGGGGCAATCCGGCTGGCGCTCTCCACGTGGAGACATTGGTTGGAGGAGGCCCGTGTGTCATTTGAGGTTTGGACTGATCATAAAAACCTCGAAGTGCTGCGCACCCCTCACAACCTGAATGCCAAGCAGCTTCAATGGGCTGATTTTTTCTCTAAGTTTCAGTTCACGTTGTACCATTTCCCAGGCAAATCGGACTCTCTGGCGGATGCTTTGTCCTGCCTCCCGCAACACGAGAACCAAAGGGAGGAGGTCCTGGACTCAATGTTTACTCCCTCCCAATTGGGTGGAGCAGTGATGACATGACGGCAGGCGAAGAACAGCCTCCCCCTTTCCCCCTCCTGGGAGGGAAAGTTTGCCTCCACCCTCTCGCAGTCTGACCGGGAGGAAATTGGGGTGGCGGGGGATTTGGAAAAGTGGGACAATGGCTGCTGGTATAAAGGAAATAAAATGTTTGTTCCACAACTGCTGAGGGGGGACGTGTTAGCTGCAGTGCAGGGATCTAAGCCGGCTGGCCGTTTGGGATTTGTAAAATCATTGCATCTGTTACAGCACCAGTTCTGCTGGCTGCACATGCGCAAGGATCTATCCCTGTTTGTACACTCTTGTCAAACCTGCATTATGTGTAAGCCCCGACCGGTGAGGGTTATTAAAGCCACTGCCAACTCCCAATAGACCATGGGAAGTAATTTTGATGGATTTTATCACGGACTTACCACCTAGCAAGTCCTTGACTGTAATTTGGGTAATCATGGACCTGTTTTCCAAGCAAACTCATTTCATTTTGTTTCCCAGTGTGCCAACAGCCCGGTCATTAGCGAAAGCCTTCCTCCAACATGTCTTCAGGCTTCACACGTTGCCACTCAAGATAATAACGGACCGCGGATCTCAATTTATTTCGAAGTTTTGGGGGGAGCTCATGGACCTTATGGGGGTGGAACGTGCCTTAAGCAGTGCTTACCACCTAGAAACTGATGGCCAATCAGAACGGATTAATCAAACCCTGGAGCAATATTTGCGTTGTATCACAAACTTTCAACAAGACAATTGGGTTGACTTGCTGCCCTTGGCTGAATTGTGTTATAATAATGCTTATCATTCTTCCACGGGTGTTTCGCCGTTTAAAGCTGCAGTGGGCTATGACAGTCCCCCGGTTCCCTTCCTCAACACGGAATTAGGGAAGGGGGGTGACGCAACGGAGTGGTGCAAAACGCTGATAGAATCATGGTCAAAAATCTGTGAGACACTGGAAGCTGCCAAGGCAGTTTACAAGCACCAGGCTGACAAGAAAAGGGTGGAGGGTTGGGTTCTGCAGCCTGGGGATCTTGTGTATGTGTCCACTAAGAATTTGAGACTCTCTCAATCCTGTTGAAAATTAACGTGGAAGTACATCAGGCCTTTTAAAGTGACTAGGCTGATCAATGATGTGACTGTTGAGTTGGAGTTACCTAAAAATCTGAAACATGTCCATCCAATTTTCCATTTCAGCCTTCTGAAGCCCTGTCCAAGCCCTAATCAATGGCACCCTGAACCTGCGATAACCTCCTCCCCCTCTTGGGGGAGGGGGAAGAACACTACGAGATCTCTGAGATTTTGGACTCTAAACTGAAGTGTGGACGCTTGTACTATCTTGTAGAATGGGTGCATTTTGGTCCCCAACACCAGGAATGGGTGGCAGCAAGAGCTATTCGAGCCCCTGACCTCTTGAGGGAGTTCCAAAGACGTCTCCCGGGGAAACCGAGAGATCTCCCGGGCATTCTGGGAGGAGGCTGATTTGGTTTTGGGGGAGCAGGATGTCAGCTAGCTGCCATGCTTTCTTTGTTTACATTCATCCCTGACCCTTGCGCACATGTGCATGCTTGCTTTGCTGACATGGGTAACTTAAGGGAGGCTTGCTTTCATCCGTGAGAACTGGCTCAGCCAGACAGCGTTATCAGCACAACGTTGACGAGAAGGGAGGGCTTGAGTTCCACTATCGTTGTGACTATTTCTGCTCTCGGGGTGGGGAGAGTCTCCCGTTCATGATGTAATGTCCCACCGGGAGAATTCCCGCGCGAGTGCTTGAAGTTCATTTGCTTAGCTAGTTGAAGCATCAGAGTATATTGGAGTCCCTTACTCCAATCGTTATTCCTAACAATGTACCTGTAGCAGAACAACAGACCGGTATGCCAATAAAGCCTAAGTTTTCCTGAAGAGTTTACTCAGCTGACACCTACAAGGGATGGGGCCTTTTCAGTAGTGGCATCACTTCTGTGAAATTCCTTCCCCCCTACTTCCCCCCACATACACACACTCATTTTCTCAGTTCAGTTTTAGGTACCAAGTGAAAAGCACCACTTCTGTTTTCTGAGACATTTGGTGATTATTTTTCCCCTTGTTTCCTGCTGGCCTCTCCAGCTTTGCTTTAATGGCAATCTTCTTTGCAATGGGTTGTATATAATTGGGCTGAATCCTTCCTCACTTTCCCCTCCTCCAGCAGCCATTTCTGACCCTCGGGAAGTCTCAGGACCTGCACAATGTAACAGGCATGTTGGTCAGGAAGCCGCAGTGGACAGAAAAGATTTTGTCCCTGTCCCCTCCCCATTACAGCATCACGACCCACAACCTGGGGATGGTCATAGCTGCCTAGGGACAGGGGAAGTGGGAAAGATCAAATGGGAAAGACAAATTGCGTTGGATCCAACCCATGCAACATGTTTGTGAGGGGAGAATTTACTTCAGGAGGTAATGACTCAGAAATAAAAGTCAGTTCAAAAAAGAATAAAAGGGCTGTTTTCCCTCTGTGTATCATGAATTAATAAAAAACTATACAAATCTTGAATGAAATATTTAATATAGACATTCCAAATAAACCAGGATCAAAATCTGATGAGATTTTAAGTTTTCATCATTTTTTAAAGCTCAGGGGAGCAGTTCACAGTCATCATGCAGTCTAGTAAAAAAAGACCCTGTAAATTATGGAAAATTAAATCACCCAGCTAGCCTTTTTGTCAAGAAGTCATTTCATTTGTGAAAGTGCTGGTCCTTTCCCTTTTCTTTCATTAAATGATGCCTGCTTTCCTTCTCAATGAAAAATACTCAAATTACTGATTTAAATTGTGTACATTTTGTATTTGTTAGGCACTCTTCAGAACCATGCGCGAAAATATAACTTACCAATCGATGAGCTTAGTTTTAGCTACACCATCATTCCCGTCTACCGAGATCAAATACAAGTTTCAGAAGCTTCAAAACAATCTCATTTTGGAAATGAATTGCCAATGGATGCCCTGGTACGTTCTGATTTGTACTTGGCACTTAGTTGCACAGAAAGAAGAAATCATTATATCCTCTTTTAAAAATGAGATATGCATGTTCGGTAAGCACTTTGTTATAATGCTATATATATCTATATAATGTTCTTTCCATATATCAGAAGGGCCTACATTCATATGGCATATTATTTTAAATAAGTGATTGCTTCTATCTATTCTGATTATTCAGTTCATTTTTGTCAAGAGTCTAGGCTGGAGAGATTTCCCCCCCACCCACTGTTGGCATTTCTTTCAGCTGCCATCTCCTGAAGATGGTTTGTTGGTCCATGGGATGTTTATGGATGCCAGCCGCTGGGATGATGAGAAGATGATTATAGAAGATGCTTTGCCAAGGCAAATGAACCCAATGTTGCCAGTGGTGCATTTTGAGCCGCAGCAAAATTACGAACCAAGTCCCACGCTGTATCATGCCCCACTTTATAAAACCGGGGCTAGGGCAGGAACTCTATCTACCACAGGTAACGCTTTCCTTAACCGTATATACCTCCTGTCAATTTTCATAAGCCAGTTTTATGCAGGACATAAAACATCTGCTTCTGTGGGCAACCAAGACACGGACTCAGACTAACTGTTACCTGAAAGCTGTTCCTCGGAGGCATTAAAATCTTAGGGTACAATCCAGTAAAAGTTAAGCGCTTTTACCTCCCTTCCCCCGGAAATCAATGAGATTTCAAAGTGCTTAACTTCAGTTAGGGAGTGGCCTTTGTTTTTTTTCCTAATTCTGCAAAATGACAACTTGGTAAACTAATGTTCTCTTTTCCATCACAGTTCTGGTTTCCCCCCCCCCTTAAACTCTTGTGGACTAAGGTGTCGTCACCTTATGTTGGCATATTCTACTTCTCTATCAATAATGTCAAGTGACCAAGACCCAAAACCACAGTCTAAATTTATGTTTGGTCATAGAGTCACAGGCTGCATCTCAAGGATATATTTCTTGTGGCTTTCTCCCTTTGGATCAATACTATCGCAGTGTCTTCTCCTAATGCTCACACTCCCCTTTTTTCCTGATATGAACCACAGATGTAGAGCTCTCTGTGATCCCCAGACCATATGACCCCTTTTGCCTGAGTATTCACATTTTTGTGATTTCACAGATTTCACAGAAGCATGTTCCAGCTGCCATGTACCCACCCTTCTTGTTCAGTATTTGGTGGCTGAACCGTCGGATATACATAGTTGCAGGAGGGGACATATTAGCTGAAATCTTCCAGGGGCAAGAATTGAAGCATTTCCGCACTGCTGCCTGCTGGGTCCATCAGATTATTGTGGTTCAGCCCTTGCTGATCCTGTGGACGGCATGGAAGTTCCCCAGCAGGCATTATAAGGAGGACACAGAGTTTTAACAAAGAATATGTTATATTCTTTGTAATTTCAGGCCTTATAACTGCCAATTCGTTATTTATTCAAAGGCTGCAATAGGTGATGTCTATGCGAAGCTGTGAAATCTTTGTTCATGGCACTAACATTCTCATTAGCACCTTATTTGCACTGAGCTCCCATCGAAACATAGGAGGAAAGATCTCCAAGTTTAGGCACACAAACCACTTTCCTTCATTTATGTATTACATCATTTAAGTGTGCCTACGACTTCTAAGTATGTATCCAGGATTAAAAGAAACCAAATGGAATGCAGAGACCAAGTCTTTTGGCTTATGCCTGGGGCTTTACTATCGGTGAGATTAGATTCATTCTATACTTATTTTAGGTATATTTTCATTGCATTGTTACCAGCTTAGGTGTCTGTTGAGATGTATTTTGTGTGTTTTTGTGCGTCTTAGGTGTCTGTTGAGATGTATTTTGTGCATGCACATGTGCATGTGTGAGTGGCAGCTGATGCTGCTATAGACTGACATATGGTAACAACTTTCTCCTCACTTTTGGAACTAGGTCATTCGACCAATTTCGTGGTCACGGTCTTGTTGCCTTCTGAACGGCCCAGTGACTATTGGATATCCAAAGGATCTGCGTTGCTTTGCCAGCTGGAGGACTAACTGGGACAGGGTTGTTGCCATCCGCCAAGAGGATGTCTACATGGCGTGTTCAGCATTGGGTTGCAGCGTTATATCAGTGCCAAGCCCACAGTACTGGTAGGCTATATAATCACACTGTCAGAAGGCCAGGCCTTCCTTCCAGTGGAATTTTTAAACATTTGCATTCTCCTTTCTAAGCAAGTGGGATGCCGCTTTCATTGTCTGCCCTCCTCCTTTCCCCATCCTTTATTCACTCACCACTCCTATGTTTCATGCATCTGTCATACAGTTAATTTTTTTAAAATCTACCATGAAGTGCGTGCATGTCTTAGACAAAGAAACATGATTTGCATCAGAATAGCCACTTATTGTGAATCCTGTGCCATAAGCTTTTGTATCTCCTTTTCTTTGTGAATGTAAATTGCTTATAATGGGGGAAGTTTCGTAGGAGGGAAAAAAAATACTGACAGCAAGCCTGTAAGTGGTTGATTCTGGTTTATCTGTAAAATTTAAGCAATAAATACTTCAGGGGGGGAAATACTCGTTTGGTTATTTTTACACAACAAATGCTTGGTTGTCCCCTTCATCCAGATGACTTGGCAGCTTGCAGAAACTTAACCCCAGGGTATGCAACCCTCCCCCACCTCCAGCATGCATCCTAAGCTGCAGCACATTAAACCATTTTGCTCCACTAATAATAATTATTATCATATGACATTGTGTGTAGAATAGTTAGGAGATCCTGGCAGCTGCAAGTTCTAGCTCTTAGTGTTATGCTAGTGCTGAGCTAGACTTGTTTTTAGGGGCTGAGAGAGCTCTGAAAGTACTGTGACCGACCCAAGGTCCACCCAGCTGGCTTAATCGAACCCAGTTCTCCAGATTAGAGTCTTCTGCTCTTAACCACTACACTAAACTGGCTCTCATTTTGTTCCACTGACAGGGCCAGTATCTCTTTACTCAAGAGACTAGACCAGTTCCCAACCCTAAAGTGCTGACAAAGCTGCTAGAGCTCAGCTTGCTCCCAGTGTCTGGGCAAGTACAACCCTTGCCTCTTCTCCAGGTTTAGTTGGCCTGCAAAGCCGTTCACAGGTAGACATTGTGGGGGCATTTGAGCCAAAAAGGTTGCCTCCTCTTAGTGTAAACCATTTGAGAATGAGCATACTGGATAGCCAACAAAAAAAGCCCATTATAGTAATGGTGCGCTCCTTTTTACCACGCCCATATTCGTACAAATTTAAGTTTTGCCTTGCATGAAGAGTTAATTGGTATAAGCAGCCGCAGTTCCATGACTTCAGCTATTACTGTAATTATTACATTTACCACATTATCACCTGGTTATCTGAAGCTTCCGTCACACCATAAAATAATCTTTGCATCAGCAGATGAGGGTGATGGGAGAAAACTGCCACATAGATTGCCACCGTTTTAATAGATTCTCTTTACACACTGCTGTCTGTGGCAAACAGCTTCTAATTTTGTCCCTCTACCTGTACGTAATAGTTATGCTGTAACTCTAGTAATGCATAAATGAGGTGTTAATGTGCAAGGAAGTGGTGTGAAGATGTGGAATGGGATGTGCATTCGAATACGCATCGGAATTCGTATCCCGTTCAAAGCAGTGTAGTGCTGATAAACTGTAACTTGCTTGGATGCACATTCAGATGTGCTGCTGAACAGGAATCTGATTTACACTTATCGCTTCCTTAACTCTGCATGCTGACACATATGTATTGTACAGGCGGATGGAACTGTAATTCCAAGGCATTAGGAACAATCAGTGATCAGTTCCTAATCAGATGCCTGTGATTAGAGGAAACTGGAAGTGTATACAAGCAAGGAGAAAATGTGTTGCCAGAGCTCACAAACTAAGGGGAAAGGACAAGTACCGAAATGATCCAGACATCATTTGATCCAATTGTTTTTGTTGTAATTCCTACAATAAGGGGGGGAAATTAACATGTTGGACACTGGAAACATTTTTAACCCTTTAGAAAAAAATCTATTGCATTGAAATGAACATTATTATATAAACTGGAGGAATATTTCAGGCCATCACAATGATCATAAAAGCTAAAACTTGCCATTTCTTTGGCAAAGTGCAACTAACAATATCATTCAAGACCGGAGTGATGCATTAGGTGAAATCAGTGTGAAGCAAAGAGCCAAAACAAAATAAATAAATACTGAAAATGATACATTTAGCAAACAGCATGTTTCTAGGAAGGGTTTTACCAATGCAGCTCAGTTTTTGTTAAACAGCAAAATGTTCACTAGTGTTTTCCTAGTAGTACACAGACTTGACTATTTATTTAATAATACATACACTGTACATCTTAGTTTATTGTCTACTCATCAGAGATCATGGCACGTGTACAGGGAGAAGACACTGTGTAAGAAACAGGTAACAAAGTCAGGTACTTGATCCTGTACCTATAAGCTCTAACCTTGTGTGTTTGTTTGTGTGTGCGTGTGTGTGAGTGTGGGCCAACTGAATGTCGAAATCCATTTCAACTCCTTTCCTCTCTTGAAACCAGCACAGGAAATAGACTTCCCTGTTTCCAATCACATTGTATAGCATTTCTTATGGTATTAATTCATGATATCCAAATTACACTTCAGGGTCGGGTGGGTAGGTGAGTTAGTTTCTGGGGTCCTTATGTAAAATCTTTTGAAACGGCTTCGATAAAATTTGGCGCGGACATCAGTATTGTGAGCGTGCAGATGATGGCAAACAGCGAAAAGGCCACAAGGCACAATCTGTCTATGACCGCCGCTGCAAACTTCCATTCGCTGCAGATTTCTTCCCCTTCATCCTGTTTTCGGAAACGAGCTGCGATGAACTGAACTTCTTCCAGGATTTTCACGATCACTGGGATAGTGTCCATTAAAGCTTTCTGTTGCAGAAGTTCAGTGTCTTCAGGCGAAGAGCCAGGGCCATTTCCCCCCTTGCTGCCTGCATCACTGTTCTGTGGGCAGCAGGGGTTTTCCACGGCATGGTAGCTGTAGATTACATTGCCGTTGCTCGACTGGTGTCCCGGTAAGACGTTCATTTCCACACTGCTGACGCTCGACTGGGGTCTAGAGTATTTGCAAGAAAGGGGTCTTATGCTCTCCCCGGGTTTTTTCATTCTCAGAAACCAAGCACACCAGTTCAGCAAAATGACACGGACCTGGAGGGGGGGGAACACATGAACAGTTCATAGAGTTCAACCGACCAACTTTATAATAAGCACTAACTGTAACAGGAAGTTACAGGGGGGAATGATGGGATATTACCATTATGAAAATTAACATATGTGGAGTCACATACTGGAGTGAGACTAATCGGAGTAAGACAGAGATGCCAGATACATGTGCTTTTCAGGTATCTGAGCTTTCCATTACTACCCCTTTCCATTTCAGCCCCCTCTGAAAAATAGATGCTTTATAAGGTATTTCTCAGTATCGCATTTTAGAGACACAACCACTATCTTAAGAGTGACACAACAATAAAAATTATCGATGAATTTTTGAAACATCTCTAGTACTTCCAGGAAACTGAAAAGGCCAGCCACTGGAAAGTAACTAGTTAAATAAGTTTAAATGATGTAAAATAAGATTCTTATAGTAAAATCTGTATTGACCTTTAGGCATTACAGTTGGAAAAGGAATATAAGCAAATAAATTATCCTAAGTACCTCAGAACTGGGCTGAAAATAGTTTTAACCTCAAAAGCCTCAGAAGGTGATAGTGTCAGGGAGTCCTCTGATAACTTCTCTTACAGTACAGTCAGGGCTTTTTTTGTAGAAAAAGCCCAGCTGGAATTCATTCGCATAATAGGCCACACCCAACAGCAGAAACTCATTCGCATATCAGGCCACACCCCTGACAGCACAGCTCATTAGCATATTAATGTCATCTCTAGAGAGCATCTTGTTTCAGACTATCCAAGATGGCTTCCCACATCCTGGGAAGCCCCGTCGCCACCTCTCTGCCGGATTGGGTGCCCACTTGTTTAGTGAGGGCACTGCTGTCAGCCATCACTTCCCATTGCTATTTGGCTGGCTGCCCGCACCTTCACTCGCTAGCCGTTGCCTCCACCCTATCTACAGCAAGCATTACCATCTGCTTCCCAGCAGTGGCAGATGCTCACCCTCCTAGCTAGATGATGGCAGACCAGCACTGGCAGCTGCCTTTTCTTATTTCTCTGCCCCTTTCCCTTTGGGGCCTGGGTGACAGTGCCCAGCTACTGCTTGCTTTGGGAGGGGGGAGCACTTCCTGGGCACTCCCACCAGCAGCTGCTGAGGTAACCAGGAGCATCAGCTTTTTTTTAAAATAACCAGGAGCATCAGCTGATCGCAAGTGTGTGTGTATGTGCGTGTGTGGGGGGAGAAGCAGCTTGTGGTCAGAGTCTGAGGGAAACCCAGAAAAAGTTGAGCTCGCTTTCCTGGCCTTTCTCCGCTACAAGTCATCCCCTTGGTACTGTGCCTTCCAAGGGGGAAACAGCCATCAAGATAATGTTACATGACGCGGCATTTTACGATTGAGTCTGGCCTGAAGATGGTCCTTTTTAGAACCCGTTAATAAATTAAATGTAGTTGGAATGGCTTACATTCAGTGCTAATCTTTGGGTCTCGGATTAATCAGAAGTGCTCGTCTTTATACTCTGGCGCTACGGCAGTGGCCTTTCTCAAGGATTCTAATGGCATTTTGTATGAACTTTTGTTGAAGCAAATGGGCTCAACGGCATCCAACTGCCTGCTCCTTTGTTCCTTCCAGAGCCAATCTTTATTGTGGTTATCAAAACTGCCAGCAGGTATGACTGTTCTCAGTTTCTACAAATTACTGTAAAAAGGGCAACGGCTGTTACTGTCAGTGCTAGGATATGCCATCTAAATGATCAGAAATATTTCCAGATAATTTTAGTATGTACATAGAAATGAACTGACCACAACAGACAAGCCCTTTTCAAAATAACATATTTTTAATTGCAGAGGAAAAACACCCCCACCCCCAAGCTACAAACTCAGTTAATGTCACGC